CCATCACAGCCACAGTGACATCCCTTCTGCAGGGTCCATGGCACCACTCCGCCCCCCCATTCACAGCCACAGTGACATCCCTCCTCTGCAGGGTCCATGGCACAGCTCTGCCCCTGTCACAGCCACAGTGACATCCCTCCTCTGCAGGGTCCATGGCACAGCTCTGCCCATCCCACTCCCACTGGGACATCACCCCTGTCACTCCCGGGGTGCCGAGGTGCCCCCTCCAACCCTGGGTGGGGGTTCCTGCCCCAGCTGCTTCCCCTCCTCCCCTCCTGCTCACACCCCAGCAGGGTGGGAGGGCCTCAGGGGATGCAGTGTCTGATGGGACACTTCCCAATGGTCCCCAGCACCACCTACCCCAGCAGCAGCTGGTCCTTGGGATCCTGGGACACGTACACGAAGTCCCTGCGTGGGAAAAAGGCTGTCAGGGACAGGGAGAGGGGCAGGGAGCCAGGGCAGGGAGCCAGGGCAGGCTGCAGAGGCCACGTGGAGCAGCCCCTCTTACCTCAGGTAGGCCTTGGGTTTGTACCCCATGGCCAGGGCCTTCTCCTCGGACATGAGCAGGATCGCCGACGCGCCGTCCGTCTGGAACAGGGGGAGAAGCCGGGTCAGGGCTGAGGGAGCAGCACCCCCTGCACACAGTGGGCCCAGCAGGACACAGGGAATGGCTTCCCATTCATGAGAGAGGTGGGAGATTGGGAAGGAATCCTTCCCTGGGAGGGTGGGCCCAGGCTGCCCAGAGAAGCTGTGGCTGCCCCTGGATCCCTGGAAGTGTCCCAGGCCAGGTTGGACGGGGCTTGGAGCAACCTGGGATAGTGGGAGGGGACGGGACTGGATGATCTCTCATGCCCCTCCCAACCCAAACCATTCTGGGCTCCCATGAAGTTCAGACTGGAGCTGCTGCCCTCTAGAATTATCACATCATCAATCCCATCCCGGGACAGAATTCCTGCGTGTGCCTGAGAAGGACAAACCCTCACGAGGCAGCTACAGGAGAGCAAACAGGTTGAGAGAACCCCAAGCTTCAGGGGTTCAGTTACTGATTTCAGAACGAAACAATCCAGTCCCCAGGCTCACCAGATTATAACCGAGCTCCGAGTCGTGCTTGGCAAATCTGGAAGCAGGGACATTAAAAGGGGAATGCTCATTCCCAGGTTTTACCAGCTTGAGCTACCTGCCTATGGGAGGATGGAGTGCACAGTGTTGCCCTCTGGCTGGCAGTGGTGGGAACAGGAATTATTACCAGGAAGGAGGAGTTGGCTGCTGTCACAGTTCCATAGGGCTTGACAAACGCCGGCTTCAGCTTCCCCATCTGCTCCATGGAGGAGGGCCGGATCCCGTTGTCCTTGGTGACCGTGTCTTTGCCTGTCGAGGGCAAAAAGCACTTTAAAATATCAGAATCTTGAAATATACCTGAATTTTCACATCAGGATTCCCAAGGAGGGGGAAAAAAAAATAATCAGAAAATCGTGATTTTTATGACAAGCGGGAAGAGGAAAAAAGGGAAAACCCGTTTGTGGCATCAGGATATTTAACATGGCCAAAACCAGCACTTTAAAACTGAAGGTAGCTCACTTTTTCTCTGAAGACAGCAAAAACAAAGTGCTGAAATTATTTACTGCAAGGAAGAACTACCACAGCTGATAAAAGAACTTAAATTTAGGTTAAAAAGACTAAATGGAGAACTGGGCCTAAATCAGTTCACATTTACGTGCTGAGTTTTGAGGAGTTAAGAGCTCTGGGAAGAACCAAACATATCCATCTTTGACTATGCCAACTGCTAAATAAACCTGTTAACAAAAAGGACCAATTTTACAATGAAGAGCACACAGAACTGTGGATCTACATGGAAAATCTTCCAGGATATTAACTGTATTGCACCACAGTGTGCCCACATGGGCTGGGGATGAGGGAGACACCAGGAAAGGCCATGGAAAGGACAGTTTAAATACTCTCTCCAGACTGTTTCACCTCCCAGCAGTGAGTGTGAGGCCTGGTGAGCTGGAGCCTGCCACACTCCAGCCCTTCCTACCCAGCCCCTGAGTTACCAGACCAGGATTTTCTAAGGCTTTCTGCCTGTTGTTAATATTCAGTATTAACACATTAATTCTCTGGGGAGTGAAGGTGGGCTCTCTTGCCTGGCTGGAGGAGCAGGGGGATTCCTGGCCCAACCAACCTGCCTTTCCTTGCTCTGTCACCACGGCAGCTCAGGTATGGGGTGGGCAAGACAAAAGTTAGGTATGTAAAAATATGACAGGGGGCAGGGTTGGATGGGATGTAGGGAAGAAATTCCTCCCTGGGAGGGTGGGCAGGCCCTGGCACAGGTTGCCCAGAGAAGCTGTGGCTGCCCCTGGATCCCTGGAAGTGTCCAAGGCCAGGCTGGACAGGGCTTGGAGCCACCTGGCTGAGGTGGGAGGTGTCCCTGCCCATGGCAGGGGGTGGCACTGGATGGGCTTTAAGGTCCCTTCCCACCCAAACCAGCCTGGGATCCTGTGCTTCCATACCCAGACACTCCTGTTCCCAAACCCGCCGCTCCGCCCGCGGCTTTCCGGGGACAGTCAGAGGGTAAAATAAATCCACCCCAGAGCTCCGTGGGTGTGCCCCCCTGGCACTGGAACACGAGCACTCTTACCTGGCACTTTGAAGGGCACCACGTCCAGCAGCAGCCCCTCGTCCTGGGCCTTCTTGGCCAGCGTGTGGGAGCGCAGGGCGTACTCGTCCTGCTCCAGGCGGGACACGCCGAAGGCGGCGGCCAGGCGGTCAGCAGAGTGCCCCATGGTCTCACTGGTGGAGAACTCGGCCACAGCCGGGAGCTGCAGCCGGGGGGGCAAGGTCAGCACGGCCAAAACTACCCCTGAGCAGCACCCAGAGCTCAGGAGTGGCTTGACTTTTTCCCTGTTGGTTCAGAGCTACCCAAGGAACGCACAACGACCATTCCGGGTCAAACGCGTCAGAGAAACCAGCACTTTCCAAGGTTTTAGGGGAAAAAACGAGGTCCAGGCTGCTGCTCACTGCTCACTGTGCAGCAGCTGGACAAGCAGAGGGCACGGCTCAACAGGGAATCCACGACAAAAGGGGAGCAGACCTGCTGAAACAACACACCCTGGGACCTTAAAACTCCTCGTGAGGCACCTCCTCATCCCAAACCAGAGCCAAGAGGGTTTAGTTTTTTAGTTTCAGCTCTTCCAGCAGCACACAGGAAATCCCTACGTGCGTTTAAGAATGTGATTTTCATGTCTTGGGTGGATTTGGGATCTCGTATTCATACACTGAGGATATTCCCCTCCAATATTAAGGCGGTTACTTCCGTTGTCTAGGAAAATTCTTCTGACCCCAAAATTCTTCTGATGCTTTAGGATCCTTGAATAAGCTTTATGGAAAAAAACCTTCTCTTTTCTGTCATCTTCAGCACAGCTTGTCCAGGAGTTGCAGAAGGAGAGGGAGGTTTTTACACTAAGTTGGGTTTTCTGAAGCTGAACGTGTGAGAAGAAAAAGCAGAGTCCCAAATGCTGTGAGATGCATTAATCAATTTAACCCAAAGCAGGGGACAGAGAAGGATCACAGTGACCCCCAGACACCTCACCCTTCTTAAATCCTCTCCACTGAGGCTAAAAAAACTGCCTGAGCCACACCTTGGTTCACACCTTCCCCTAAAACAGCTCAGCCAAATATCTAAACGCCCGAAAAAAAGACAAAAACAAAAAAAAAAAAAAAGAAGAAATAAAAAATACCTCGGGAGCGAAGTAGTCAGGGCGAATTTTGGAAATCAGGGAGAGCTTCTGGCCCAAGGTCTTGGCCCTGTTCAGGGTCAGCATGGTCTTCCTCATCTTCCTGCTGTGCCGGATGGGAACGTCGGACATGAGCTCCACCCCTCCGGCCACCACCACGTCGCACTGCCCGGCCGCGATCAGCCCCACGCCTGTGGGGTGAGAGGGGTTCCTGGGGGAGCTGCTGGGAGCAGGGACCCTCACCCCCAGAGCCTCGGGCACCACTGCACCCCAGTCCCTCCCCCGGCCCCGGCTCTGGCCGGGGTGTGCAGCACGTGCTGAGCAGACACTTTGTGATCCCACCAGCCCTGCAGCTCGGCCTGCCCTGCTCCCTGTCACACCCAGCAGTGGGGGAGAACAATTCACACTGTACTTTAACAGAATCCCAGGATCACTGGGGTTGGAAAAGGTCCCCAAGGCCAGGGAGTTCCCCCCGTGCCCAATGCCCACCTTGTCCCCCAGCCCAGAGCACTGAGTGCCACGGCCAGGCCTTCCT